AATAAAAATTCTATTTGTCAGTCAAATAATCTCTTTCAGTTTCTACAATCTACTGATTGAAGCTTATAGGTCATGTTTAGACCCCGAGATATTGCTCGTATCTGCCAAATTGAAAATAGCCTACAATAGTTTTAATTGTTCGCCTATTCCGCTTTTGAAGCCTATATTTGGTCATAGTTTTTCTTCCTTATATTTTTATTTTAATTTGTTCGCTCTTTTTCTCTCTGTGATTCTCAGCCACGTTGCTTGAGAAAGTCATAGGCGAACATTCTATCCGATTAGCCCCTTCGAAATACAAATAACCATGATATTGAAAATTGCGTTACTTCTTAAAAGTCTCCGACAAATACGCGTACTCTGAAACGCCATTTTGTTCCTCTCAGTGCTTTTACGGGTTGGATACGAATGGCATGAATTTTCAGCGACGATAGTTTGATTGTTAGAGTAGAAGGTTCTGATTGCCGGGGCTGAATTAGTAACTGATATTAAATAGCCAATGAAATAAAGAAGTATGTCAGACGCTGTGTTCGTATCATCTGCATTCCCTCCGTACCTAAATTGCTTTCCAGTATAGTATTCAGAGATGCAGAAGCAAAGACTACTACAGAATTGCTTTTATCACTAATATTAACTGTTCAGGATATAATTAAATCACTTCCTCAAATAAGCATTTCTATACTGCAATACAAATAATCATTGTAGTGATGCTATACTCGTGAAGAACCCTGGGCCTACTAGAAGGGCGATACTATACGACCCTTAATTGTTTAAACTTACCTTTGGCGTACATAAGATCAAGCTGAAGAGAAGCGAACATTATCAGCTTCATCATAATTTTTAAGATTAAGCTGCTCATACTTCAACAGAGGCTCAAACAAAATTTCTTGGCCAAAACCAACAACCGATGAATTAAATGGTGTTTGAGCAGCTGGGGTGACGCCAAAAATAGGCGTTGCTCTAATGTAAATCCTCTCTTGATATAAATAATGAGGTATAGCAATGTCTGCATGTACCAAAACTCGGTAGCGGAAAACACGTACTCCGGAACACTTGGGGATACGACAAATGACAGATTAAATTTCAGGTTTCTGTTTGTCTTTTTCAGACATTTAACCTGTCATTGCGAATTTTTTAGAGTTATTCCGGGTTGTTTGGTGTTCCTGGGAATACATTGAACCAAAGGAAAAAAACGCACTTCCCCGTGGAGCTAATTACTTGAAGTCGAAAGAGTCGAGGTCTAGGGAAAAAAAACTTTCGTAAAACTTACGAGCAAATGTTTTGATAGATATCAGATAATTGTTAGGTGTATTCTGCGTATTAAATTCCTGCTTTTGTAGAGTTTCCCGAGGTGACAGATGCCCCGATCTCAAGTTCTGCAGTGCTGGCTCCTTCCCAAATTCCAACTATGAAAAACATCAGCTGGTGTGATGGCTAATGCTTCATCAGCTACACAATGCGTTAATATATTTATAAGGAATACTGTTTTCAGACTGGCTTTGTACATGTGTCTTGCAAAACGAAAGAGCACAATTAAATAAGTACTATTTTTCAGCAACTGTATTGTTCGTTCGATTTCGTTACACAATTTTATGTTACCCGTATTCCCTTTTTACTTTAATAGGCCATTTGCACGATGACGTCACTACTACTACTACCAGAATTCTTTTCTTTTTTCCTTTCATCTTCAAATTTGGTAATCCCAGCAAGGTTTAACCTGCGACCAAGCTCTCCAATCATGGCGAGCAGAGCCCCTCGCACTCGCGTCTCCTATAGCGTGCAGCTCTCGCGTGACTTCTCGCGACTCCCCTAAATGGAGGGTTTGCTTGCAGACTAAGCGAGGTTCAAATAAACAAAACTTTAATTTGCACAAGGATTTTGGTCGTCGTGATAAAATGACGCCATCATGTAAATAGCTTTTTATCTTAATAACTGTAGATCTTTGTTATCGTTAAAGAAGCGCGAAGAAAGAAAAAAAACAAAAACAAAAACAAGAAGAACTGAACAAAAAAAGAAGCTGTTCATGGTGGAAAACCAAAGTTTTGCAATTATTATTATTACTTTATTAATTTTTGATAGCGTGACATTGAAAACCATTAATTCAAGGGCTAAATATTAGGCTGCTTAATAGAGAGACAAGGACTGATATTTTTGATGTTACAATTCTTCCTAATCACCATCCACTTAATTGTGTGGTCTGAAATAAATCATTGTTTTAATAATGATTTATTTACTGAATTAAAATTCAGTAAATAAGTTTATTATTTGGCAGAGTCTGTTGTCGCCGTGCGATTGGTCAATTTGCGGTCCGCAACTTGCTATACGGACCAAAATTTAAAAGAAAATGCTCATTTCGGAGCTCAAAATCTCTTTACCTCGGAAACAAAGGTTGAAATTAAGTTACAAGACGTCTACCAACCTTGAGGACTGAGATTTTCACTTTGTCCTTCAACATTTTAAACTGTGTTTATTTGTGAACGAAGGCGATGAAGAAACTAACTCGTAATCTTATCGAAGAGGATTCTAGTCAGTGTTTGAAAATTTTATCGTAGTACACAGTTAAGAAGACGAAAATGGACTGGCAGAGATTCGAGATGTTTTGCCGAGGAGAAAAATGAATAATTCCTTCGACAAATATAATAACAAACATGCCTGCACCCGACAATCTTGACGAGCTTCTTTGTCATTTGCAGTGTTTTTCCAAAGACCAACGAAAGAAAGATAGAAGCGACTCCAAGCCAGACACAATGTCCAGTTTTCAAAAGACTCCAGCGTCACATTGGCGAGTGAATACTTAAGTGCTCTTAGTTTTGACCGAATATACTTAAAAATATGTCTGTAAACCCTGAGGACTGGGATGTTGACTTTGCCTCTCCAGATTTTAACCAAGCTTTGTCTGAATGAGAACGAAGGTGGTGTAGAAACTGGATCGTATCCTTTCCGTGGCAGAAAATATTAACGCAGATCACGCTTGAAGACGAGAATGAACTGGCAGAAATCGAGAGGTTTTCCCAAAACAATTATCGAGCGAATCCTTGGACAATGACAACAAACTTACCTTGAAAAGCTTCTTTGCCTTTTGCAGTGTTTTTTTTTTACAAGGACCAACAGAGGAAAGATGAAAACGACTTCGGAAAGACACAGTGCCCGGTTTCCAAAATACTCCAGCGTTACATTAAAGAGCAAAAACTTACAGCGCTCTTAGTTTTCACCAAATAAACTTTTTCAACATGGGGAATTTGTTTTCAATTTCTCGGAAACACTTTGTTGTGTGCTATTGTTTTTGTCAGCCAATAAAAACTTTCTTTCTTGACACCTGTCAAATGATTGTCAAATCGCGCGTCTTGCACTTGTTTACGGTTCCCCAAGCTGGAAGAAGACATATAATAAACATCTTATTAGCCTCGTTTTTTCGGTCTGTACTGTAAATTACGAATCCTCGTTTTTCCCCATCGATTTATGGCCCGCATGCTTCGCGCTTGGGCCATAAATCGATGGAAAAAAACTCGGTCCGTAATTTACAGTACAGACCGGCTAATAAGAGGTATTTACTTTATAGACAATAAAAAATCATTACCAATTACAATTTATTTTGAATTATACTTTTGACATTCAACGATCTACAACTTGTTCGAATACATGAAATTAACTAAAAAATAACTTAATGATCGACTAATATTAATTTTATTAATTTTGTTATAAGACTCTAATGTCTTGGAGGATCTATATATGAATAGATTTTTGACTTGCTCCCAATCCCAAGGCAACAACAACAACAGCACTTGTCCGCTGATCCATCTATCTACGCAGGCCGGATTTTCAGTGCCAGAAAATCACCCATTCGACGTGTATTGAGGAGAAGGCACTTGATTGACATGTATGGGTGAGTCACTGCAGGCTCCCTGCCGCATGCTGTAAGAGAGGTGTAGGAGCCTTCTCCTGGTTTCTGAGAGAGTAACATTGAAATGGAGTGTTGATAGATTGAATGCCAGAGCATTGTTAATGCTTAAAATGATAATAAAGATGTCAATAATCAGGATTGACGCAACCAAGAACGCAGCCCAGATTTCCTTCCGCACAGGACAGCTAAGCTTATCCGAAAAGAAAACACCCCCCCCCGGACACTCGCGCAGCACATCAACTTCGTTTGATGGTTTTCAACATCCAAGCTACCTGCTACTTAGTCCCCGTTACTGCCTGGGTTGAGAACAGAAGTCGCCGGTAACAGGGGCCAATCCATTCTCCAGTGTCCTGCGAAGTTGACTAGAGTTAAACTTCACAAGCGTGCCAGCAAAAAAGACCTGCCATGTTCCTAGCTGCCGGCGGTACGGACGTGTTTGTTCTAATATGTCAGAACAGTACCACAGGCAGTCCCGGGGTGGTCAACAGCAAGAAATTTCCTAGCACTAAGGGGAAAAAGAGATTTCATAACTCTTCGATTCCTCTGTGATCTATACGTAAGTTCTTGAAAAGTCTGAAATCAAACGAGAGATGATTCAACTTACTGTTGAAAGACGACGCAACGTGTCGTATCCACATTCCATCCTACCAGGTTGTACTGTTTCGTATTCGCACCCTCCTTCTTCCTTTTCATCAGACACACCAGCCTGTCGTTTATGTACATCCTCCGCTAGATTCAACAATGAGGTATTCTTAACTCCAAGCTCAGTCCTGGAGAAGTATAATTATATAAAAGTGCTGAAATCAGGAACCAATCTGATGTAATTTTTTTGGTCCATACAGGACGTCCAATTCAGTGCCGTCATTGTAGTAGTGGTAACCTTTATTGAGTGATGTCAAGAGAGGATAAAGGGGACAGAGAAGGCATCCCCCATACACACTCTATTCCATAGGTAATTTGTCTCGAGTTATTTTTAGAATTGGGACAGAGGAGGAGCGAATAGTATCCCATGATGCATCTGGCTTTATCTTATATTATCACTTTGAATGTGACGTCATCATTGTTCTACAGCTCGCGCGAAGTGAAAGTCGCAGCGCTCGCTATGGAGTGTTTCCAAACAAGTAGAAGCTCCACATCTTCTGTTTTCGAAAATAACAAGTTGATTTATATTCACTGCGTCTCCAAGGAGAATTTCAGCGTAACGTTGAAAGGCTTTACATGTATTTCGCTGATCTGTCGTGATATTCATGTCAGTTTTCTGGATTCGATGGACGAACGAAGAAGAGCTCTCGTCCCTGTGACTGTTGAGAATTCTACAGTAGACGATTTATTTGCTGGAGTAAGAAGTCCTGTGTTAATTCGAATCAATTCTTCTTGTGATATCACGGTAAGTTGTTATATGTGTCATTAAACTTTTTCTCGATGATTCGAATTGGTTCTGTACTCGCTCGATCTGCAGCAAGAAATGTCACACATGACATGTTGATGGAGGCGAAGGAAATGTGTGATATTCTTAAATAAAACCACAATTGCCCTCTTATTTAATTCATTTTTTGTTTCTTTTAGTGTCTTGACTCAGACAATCTTCAAGGAGATGGCCTGGACAGAGTTCTGATTTGGTCTTTGGAGTTAATACCTGCTCCAGCCGCACAGTACGTGAGACCCAGCATTGTTAACGATTCCCCGCTCAACGAATATTTCCCACCAGTTGAACTTGACGAATGCCCTTGTAACTGTTCGAGTTTGACGGTATTCTGTTTGGTGGCAATGGTTGCTGAAACCTCTGAATGTTTGGCATCTGCTGCAACCGAAGATGACAGTCCAGTAATGAGCGAAAATGAGTGTTCCCCTCAAGATGATGACAGTGAGAATTCTGACGAAAACACCGACTCTGATCCAGAGGAAGTGGAGTATTTCTCAGAAACGTTTTCAGTGAAAGGGTCATTCTGGGCGACTAGATATCAGGATGCCCTGAAAAAAGCTGTGGACCTAAAAGCCAATGGAGTTAATGTCCCTGTTAGGGCGTCCTTTGAATCAAGCAATTTGAAAGACAAAAATGCAATAACATTTGAAGTGTTTGACAGTACAGTTTGGCTGGTCATTGGATATTGTGGGGTTGAAAAAATTCCCAAGCTTACAAAAGCAATAAAAAAGGACGAAATTATATCTTTCAAACTTTGTTATATAAAGAGGCAGTGGATTCCTAAGATCAGTGAATTTAGGTTTTATGCTGGCGTGACTATTATCAAGAAAGATAGGTGGGACAAAAATGACAACAACAATCAGTATAACAGTAACTTGTCGTTTCTATTTGAATGATAGGTTTTATAGTAATAGTTACAAATGAAACTAGCATATTCTTTCCTTTTTATCTCTAAAGTTAAGACAATTTTGTATTAGCCAGGTTGAGTTGAACAATAGAGAAATCCACCTTCTGTACTCAGCAGATGGAAGAACTGTTTCGTACCCCTTGATATGTATATACTGTAAAATGATAATTGTTATTTCTTCTCGTGGGCACATGAAGCTTGATTTGTTTTAGATATTAATAATCTATATTGGTGGGTTACTTTTGAGAGTATCCATGCTAGCTTCCCTTTTTTCTTCTAAGCAGTGACCTCTAAAACCATTTTTTAAAGAAACAAATGGCAAACACATGCCTTGAAAAATTTTAGAGGACATTTCACTTGATGTCAAGCAAGATCCTCTTCATTAATAATCACTATACAGTGAAACCTACATCTAGCACACACCCATGGGAAATTAAAGGGAACTCAACAGGTGTGTGCATACATAGAGGTGCCTTCTATTACGAGTCGTTAGGAATCAAGAGTGATGCACAAGTCTGTCTTACTTGTTATGCTGAAGTCCTTTTAAACAAAGGGTGTTGTTCACTTCATTCAGGTTTCACTGTGTTATTTTACAGAAAATAGTGATTATACTACACCTGTGAAATAGGTAGTAGAGTGCTACACACGATTATGCACTAATTTGTTTACTAGTGGCTATTTTGCACTAGTTGTTAGTATCTGTTTCACGGGTCAAGTAAAATCACTCTATCTTCGTATTTTGGATTTTTTTTTTGTCTAATTAATTAATGCTTGTCGTTTACTCCCTTTTCCTTACTCTGGAATACTTTATAAATACATGTACATAGAAAAGAGTCAAACTTGAAATTACTTCAGAAATTGTCTTAAAAAATAAAACTGTTGCATCCATTGAAACGTCAAGGGTTATTTTTTTAGAAGAGGGTAACTAATGAACCAAAACCCTTCTTTCTGACTGTGCTTGTTGCAAACCACATGCAGAACTATTGAAGTCTATGAGTTCTGAGGTGTCATGATGCCACACAGGTCACAAGTCAATGGTTGATACAACTTTATAAAACCTTCCTATCATAATTATTGCAAACAGGGCTCTGCATCTCAAAAGCCCTCCAAATTGCCAAAACATTATTGAACTAAGACAAAAAGCTAATGCATACCCCAAATTTCTAATCATAAAGTTAACCGTACAAGTCAGTGAATGTCTAGAGTTTACAGCTGTTAGAGAAACACGGGAATTTACTTGTGATACACTAAACTTGTATTAAAGCAAAACAAATGCTCAGGTTAGACTCCCAGTTAAATACACACTGGACCCAAGTTACAAGTTAGGGGGTAACTGCCCTTCAGGCCTATGAAGCCTCTGGCGTATTGTGGTCTGATTTCGGGCAGGGAGGAAGCTTCGTCCCGCAGTGAATATAGAAGAGTCTTCCCTTCTGCTCAAGGTCAGTCGATGGAGCCTGAGGGGATGTTCAGCAGGATCAATGTCGTCAGGCACATCTGGTGCTTCATTGAAAGAAGGGAACTCTTCTTCCCATTCTCTGTACCTTTCATTTGCAGTCCAATAGTAAAATGGGAGGTCATCTCCAACTCTCTTAGTAAATTCCCTAACAGGATAAAGTAATAACACGAGATATTAAGTGGCTGTCATGTTATATTTCATTAATTATTACTAGTTCCAATTGGCCAAGAACCTTGATTCCCTGCAAAGTGGCTGTTCCATGTCACCAATTATCTGGCTTTACTACTGTTTGACTGTTACATCTTTTATGTGGCTCAAGTCAATACTTAATTCTGTAAAAACACCTGGACTGAAAACGTTATTTTAGACTCAATATGCTTATCAATCTTACCTGACCAGTCTTCTCCAAAGAGCCTTGAAGTCCTTCAAGGTGAAAACGAGACCCAGGAAACGGTGCAGCAGGGCAAAGAAAGCTTCCACATCATCTGTTGTGCCAGCGCGTGGGTGCTCCTCAAAACCATGAGCCGCACTTTCCCTTCTGCGGAACTCAATGCTCTCAATGTTAGTAGTGACTGCAATCACAGTCTCGCGTGAAAATCCACAAATTCCCTTGACCGGCCTAAAATTATAACAAAACAACAAGCAAGCAAGCAAAATGATTAATTTAAAATTATTAATGATTAATCCAAGTAATTGTCTGAAGTGACAAGTACATCTAAATAGAAAAAAGGACATGAAAAAAAGGCTTGGGCATGTTTGAAAGGCTTTGCAATGACTTGATACTCACGAATCTGTGCTGAAATAAATGCTACAGGTCAAAATCAAATTCGGGTTAAATTTTTTTACCTTACTTGATTCTCAGTTTCCATTATCTCCTAGCCCTAGGAATCATCCTAGATAAAAAATTAACCTTAATTTCATTTTGACCAGTAACATATACACGTAAAAACATCATACCTGTTGATATCAATGGTCGAAAGATCTGGGTTCTCCTTGTACCATGGCATCCATTCAGTTAAGATCATATTTAACATTGCGTAATTGCGCTTGCATCTCTGCAACTCACTTAGGCCTCTCCCATCGGCTGCCTCATGCCATCCAGCAATGACATCAATGTAATTGGCTTCCCTAAGGTACCCATGCTCGTTGAGAAATTTTGAAACCAGAAATGACAGCATCCTTTCTGCATCTCCCACTGACTGCTTTCTCTCTCCAGTTAATGCAGCATGTGTTAAACCAGTACCTGGATCTAACATTGCATCATCAAAACCCTGCAGTTTCATGCCTTCAAATCCACCTAATCAAAAACAAAAAGATTTTTTTTTCTAAAAAAACAAGGAATGGAATAAGCTTTGTGATCCTTTTGTAATTGCTAAAATGCCATTGTAAGCCTTGCAACTTCTTAAGTACTTCCCCCACATTCCAAAAATACTTTAATTTTGACAAAATGCTGTGGAAATACATACATGTACGATTCACCTCCCCCTACAAAAGCAACTTTTCATTTTCATTTTCAATTTTTGTATAAATGCTTTTCTAATAAAAAGTAAGATTACATTACCACTGACAACAGTGGTCTACTTCAGGCGAGGTGAACATCCCCCATGAAGGACAGGAAAACATCCTACCCAAATCATCAGAAATAAGTTTTTAATTTGTTTTTGAGTTTGCCTGCCTTTTAACAGCAATAATTTTCATGTTCTACCTTCTCTGGTGTGTTTCCAAATCCTTTTGAGGATATGACAATGATCTTCCCTTTCATGAAAAGTATCTTCTGTTATTGGATCCACTTCAGGGACGTACAGATAGGTGCTGAAGTCATCACCCTCCCTTTTTAGCTCTTCAACCCGGTGTCTGAAGCGGTAAGTTGCAACCAGTGACCTCAACTTGTGAACAAAGTTTTCAGGGGTGTCAGCTTTGAAGGGATATGGTTGATATCCATCAGGAACTAGCTTTTGTCGTAAATAGGTAATTGCATCCTCCAAAGTTAGGCCATCAACAACTTGTAAATTTCTTAGTTGGGTTATGACAGTGGCTGGTATTGCCTCATCATAAGTTTCAGTCACAGGATTTCCATCATGATCAACTAGACAAAAATCAATGCAAATAGTGATCAGCATTGGATCCTCTGTGTTCTGTAAACTATTCTGTTGTAGGTTGAAATGCAATTCATGTTAAAATCACTTAAAACTAACATTCTTATCCTTGGTTTGAAATATATGATAATCAGCCTTCATCTTTTATTCAGGGACAAAGGAATTAAATAAACCTTTTTTAAACTAGGATGAAATCATTGGAAGCTGAATTTCATTTCCTTCTACAACATATAAAATTCTGTTTGACGGAATGCCTACCCCCAATTTGAATCAGCATTTTTAAGAGGTTTCCTCTGCTCATTTTGGATACACTCTCTCGTGCATCGTGCATCAGCTGCCAGATATGTAATGACCGTGTCTCCCCTTGTGTTCTCAAAGAGTTAAACTCGCCATCTGTGACTAAGCCTGGAAAGAAAAGATAAATACAGGGAACTCAGTGAAGTTCCCTTTGCAGATAGCCATTCGTATGGTACAAGACGGCCATGCTGGAGAGAAAAAGTCACACTGGGACAGGACAAGCAAAGGAAATTATCATTTAAAATTGTGTAGGCCTTTTATTTGTCTTGTACCAGTGCGACTTTTGCTCTCCAGCATGGTGGTTTTGTACCACATGAAGGGCTAGCTGCAAAGGACGTATCCATTAGACCTAAACCTTAACATCCTCTGAAAAAGGGAGGTCATTTTCCTGTCAAGTTTCTTCTAACCACATAGCCGTATACTAAGTAACCTACCTACTGGTTTTAAATCCATTTTGACCATTTCCCTCTTGACTTTTGTAGTGATATCCCGAATATATTGATCCTTTATAGAAGTATAAGGGACAAATTGAACTGGTATGGAGTAAGGCTTCTTGTTCCAACGTTCCTCAGAAACCAGAATTGCTAGGACATGGGTAGCGGCTGGTTTTCGCTTTTTCACAAACACATTCCTCAGGTACTTCTTCAGATCTTCTTTGAGATCCTTGAGACTACGAGCTACATCTTGAACACGCACACTCCCTGGTTGGAGATGGGGAAGAAGACTCTCAATGGTGGTACGAAATGCTTGGGCCTGCTGAAGCAAGGTGTTGTATTCAACCCTTTCCCAACACAGTGCTTTAAGCACTGCTTGAGAAGTATTGGGACTGTTGAATTTTTTTTGGAAAGACGCGTCAGCTTCCTTCAGGCCATCAGCCAGGAACCTCTGATCCTCCTGCAAAGCATCAACCATCTTTCGAATTTTGAGCTCCAACAAGTCTCGTGTAACTGCAGCTTCCTGGATGCAAGCATCTGCTTTACGGGTGTCATACTCAGCTCGGAGTTCTTTTAGTTTCCCATCCCCAAGGTCTACATCCCCATCCCATTTTCCCTTGACGGACTCTTGCAGAGCCACTTTTATGTCACATGCGTCTGCCTTTAACCAAAACCGACCATGTGGGTGTGCTTTCTTAAGCTCTTTGATTGCTTCGACCTAAAAACAAATATATAAATATGAAATTATAACATTTACAATAACTGTACATGAATTAAGAGAACCTGATATGAAGCCTTATGTGCTCCTGTTAAAGTGCCTATGTCTCTGATCAATGTTCTTGCACATCATTGAGAATCAAAAGGAGTAATCGTGGTCATACCATGAGGGGCAATGTACACTTCATTTCTCACATTTTTCCAAAAATAGCCGGTGTGCCAGAACAAATTAAGCAACACACTACTGCTCTATTTTTTCAAAGCCAAATTTGAGTATTGCAACATTACTATATAGAATGTTATGACATTCATGCCACTAACATGATGACATCTCATTGTTTAAAATTATTTGCAAAATTTCATTTCTAACCTGAACTGTAGGCTCACAAGTAAAAGGTGCCTCAGCTGTTTGCTTCTCTACTGTCCTTATGCTTGGTGATGCAACATTTACACGTGCCTGTCAGGAATAAAGTAAGGGCAAGAAATAGAGTAATCCAATAAAATAGATCCAATAGAATAGAATAATCAATCTTTGCTTTTGTTAGTTAGTTTGTTTATTTTTTTTTTGTTTACTTGTTGTGCTCACCGTGAGAGGATCTTTCTGTTGATTCACAGTGACACCACTCCACATAGGTCCCCTAAATAGCCGGCTGAATCTTGTTGGGAACTCAGCACACATTGTCTCGTACCAAGTCTTGAAGTCCTCTGGCACTGATATCTAAAAAACAACAACAACAAAATATCTTTGGTTATAATCTCTCACAGGAAAACGATATGAAAGAGTATGTGTAGAGAATAAAAAATAGTTAGAAAAATAAGATAAATAAAAGCAGCAAAAAAGGTATTGATGGAAGTGACACGGTGATAGTTACTACAGGGTAAACTAATAGCAAACCTGCATGATGTTTGTAGCAGAAAAGAATTCGATCTGGTACTCCACCATGCCAAAAGGCATTCTGTTTATGGGAAATAGGCTGTCCTTTGATCCTGGTCTGTTTGATGCAATGCACAGGGCAAACTTGTAGATCAAATTGTTTTTGCCATTATCTTGCAATCTCTTCATTGCATGCATTGCAAGTTCTGCAAAGTTTGCAGGATTGGAGTTTATTCCATTTTGTAATGCCAGTTCCAGAAAGGCAAGATTAGCAAGCTCTACCAACTCTGCAAGATCCAACCCAGCCATTAAAGATTTCAGATTCACTGGATTCTTTGACTCAGCTACATCATGTCTTTCGCTTTGCTCCCCAGAAAGGGTTTGGGTCACTTTGTCTGCTACTTTTACTGGCGTTCTTTTCTCACTGTCTCTACTCTGTTCCATTTCCTCTAAGTAGTTGCTCAGTGTCAGATTATAGTGCTCCTCTGCTGCGTCTAATGTTCTAAAATTTGCCTTCACATGATTCAGCAATCTAGCCCGCACTCTTGTGTCTAGAGAAGGTCATTACACAAAAATCATTACCAAGATGGATCCATAAGACTGCCATTTAATGTATATGCCGTAGTGAATCTTTTTATCTCAGGTAATTTTAATCTTTCTTTTAATTGTTTGAATTTCATTAGCATACATTACCATACCCAAAAACAAAATAAAAACAAAAATTACCTGAGATAAAAAATTACCTACAACATCTGTTCTAACAGACAAGACATTGTTACAATATATGCAAGTACTGTAGATAAACTTCTATTATCAGAAATGTAAAGAAGACATTTGGTGCGAACAGGTGCATCAAGGCTGGAAGAATAAGTAAAATACTTTTCAGTGTACTTCAGAAACAAGAGGCGAAATGTTGTGAACTTTTCAAAAAAGATCTATCTATAATTCAATATATTAATGTTGTGAACTTATCAGAAATATCACAGGAAGCTTGAAAGACTTCTGATTAAACCACAAGAGGACACAGAAAATTTGCCACTACAATCAGAGTGAATATTAAAAATAAAGTTATTCCACTTACTGGAAAGAACTACACTGGAGGAAGTGCTTGCTTGTATATGCTTGGCAGCATCTGCCCAGAAAGTGTTGCGGAATTCTTTTAACCCCGCTCCGCTGGTTCAAACAAATCAAGAGGACTGTATCTTTCGATGTAACAACACGATTTAATGCAATCCAACAATCTACTGCGATGTACAACTCTCATATACTCAACGTTCGTAACACAACGATCAACGTAACTGAACGATCAACGATCAACGATCAACTCAACTAAACTAAAACATTCTAAGTATACAGTGGTTTTTCTACTATCCTTGCGTAAGGCAGTATTTGTGACCCTCCACAGGACTTTAATGCTAAAGGTGAAAGCACGCGCACGACACGCTTTCACTTTAAGACAAAAGAATTTATTTTAACACGCTTTAGCACGCTTGCAATCTTGCCTCATTAGTAATTTCTTTTGTTTCAGAGGACACGCTTGAGACAATTAAGCGTGAGCAAGTCGAACAAAAGAGCGTGTTGAAGTTTTCAAACAAAAGCTCCGTGCGAAAAAGCACAACACGCTTTCAGTGTGCGCAAAAGCACGCAAGGCGTGTTATCTATAAGCTAAATTAATTTCCTCTACAAAAAGGAACAGAAAATGATTATGAACGGCACCCTTTTTTGGTAACTATCGAGAAAGAAAAAGTTATACCTCAGCGATCGCAGCGATAGAATCTGATTGAAAAAACGTTGTCGCTTGAAAAGTATAAACAGTGAACGGTGTGACCTACTGGATTCATGGGTAGAACTATATTAGCATTGCAAAATCAAAGTTCTTTCCAGAAATGTTTACTGACGAAGCTGTGCAAAGGTTATCTCAACTTTCCTTAATTTAAAACACATTTGCAATTTTCTCAGAAACAGTGATCTTTCGGACTTAAGACACTTTCTTGCCGATCGCAGAAATCGCGATCAAATATAATAGAAATCATCAAGTGCCAGGATCACTAAATTCTATTTATTTTTTCGCGATTGCAAGGATCGTAGTGATCAAATAAAAACCAGCCTGCTTTTCTAGATGTACCAAAATTTCAAAACGTTTCCAACGTTGCTTAATTGATCCGGCCGACAATAACACAAAAAGCGAAACATCAGTTAATTAATGACTGTTTCACCGCTTTTTGAATAGTAAGCAAAAAATGTATTTTTTAACAGAATTCCGACATTGTATGGTGCTTTTTTGTTTGATTCTTTGTTTTCGCCACAATAATACGGCGTGTTTAGAGTACTAAAGTTCGATCCGAGAATTAAATCTCTGTCAGTCACACACTGAGAAAAGAGAAAAAGAACTAAATTAAAAGTAGTCCGCGTGAAATTCTTGAAGGCAATCACTTGTTCCATAAAGTTCGGTCATTGAATTAATTCATCGAGCTCGATCTAAAGGGGTGACGGTCAAGCTACTCGAAAGTGATGTCATTTGAAGTTATGTCGTCCAAAACCTGATAATATGAGTTTTGTCGCCCAAAATTCAGAGAAAAGTCGCCCGCAATCCTCCCTCATTCTACAGTGTTTTTAGTTTACAGATTCTTGTTTTTTTCGTCCTGTGAAGAACGAGATATAGTACACATTTACAGCGCTTGATTCGTCTTAGCATAGCGTAACAAAGAGATATCTTTACATAAATTATGACTGATAGCGCTTCGTTCGTCAGGGGCACCTGACGGCGATTTCCTCCTAAATGCATCCTAGCATCCTAGGACAACCTCAGTCTTTTCGAAATTACAAGGGCTTCAGCATTATTTTCCCGAAAAATTTAGCTTCCAATTGAAAGTTTTAGGAAAGTGAGAATTTTATCGTATTTTTGGTTCCGAAAATTTTAGGATTCCTTAATTCTCTACGAAAAATAGCTTAACTGGGGAATGAAAATCGTAAGGAATTTATTAGATAACCTTCGAAAACTGTACATGCATGGAACGGTCATCTAGAAATGTTTAGCCTTCCTCAACCTATAGAAAATTCTAGGCAGTTTTTGTTTCTCCAATTTTATTACCTTCGTTCGTCTCAGCATGGCTTAAAGAAATATATTAAATTAATTTATTCAACTTCATTTCTCTGTGCATTACTGCTAATAAATATTCCGGTGGCATTACTATAATTTTCAGGCGACATAACTTCAGTGCCTCGCATGCGATAGCAGGCCTCTTTGCGATTCCGGTCAACAGCCGACAGCCGGAGGAATTGGTTTACACTGATCTCGCGTTAATTCCAGGTTAGACCACCATTAAGTCGTGATTTTCAAATGGCCACGGTTGCTATCAAATTCCAAAACAGTCTCAATTGGTATATTTGATTCACTTCGACCAGTTATCAATGCTGATTAAATCCGCTGAAAACCCAAGCCATTTTTATCATCTCGGTTTTAGTAATCAAGCGTGTTCAGCGTGTCTTACCCAAATTGCACGCTAACCGTGCTATAATTCGCACACTTACCGTGACATATGGCACGCTACAAAAAAACAAAAGGTCTAGCGTGTTAAATTTGCCAAAACAAAGGCAAGTGTGTCCGTCTTTGTTTTTTCAATTTAATATGCGCATATCCGTGATCTACGGCACGCTAAGCGTGTCGTGCAAGTGTGTCGTGCGCGTGCTTTCACCTTTAGCATCAAATTCCTGTGGAGGGTCACATTTTTACATTAATCACATGTACAGTAAAAGTTCCCATTGTAATGTATCTAAATTAAACGTCTATTACAAAATCCCACGTTCTTTCACCTTATTTAGCCTAAGAAAATACATGCAGTTACATCATTTTATATCGTAAATATACTTGGACTTTGTCTACATTATTGTGAAATCTAATGTCACGAAATCTAACTTTTGCGCTACAAATGTCAATTTCTAATTAATATTTAATCACAGAATAATCAAGTTAAGTATCACCTATTTCTTTCCCCGACACACTCCCCCCCTTGACTCGCCTACGAGTCAAGCATTAGTCTCGATTTCCATGTAGAGTCTAAGGCCGCATTTCTAGGAGGGACTCTTCTTGGCGAAATTTCTGTAATCCGGTTGCGTTCGGTAAGTGCTCGTACTCCCTCCCCTTCGCTCCGAAACTCCAACGGATAAAGTTTCTGAACTGGTCTGGAAAGTCGAATCGGTTTTCCCTTCGTAACGACTCTGACAGTAGCTCCTCTAACTACGTTATCTCTGCCTGTCACTAATCTCTCTACAACTCCCATCTTCCATTCACCCCTTTTCCTTTCTTCCTCGTACACTACAACTACATCTCCTACTTCTACCTCTCTTTCTCTTTTTCCTGACTTACACTTATGGAATTCGCGCAGGTTTGCAAGATACTCTTTTCGCCACCTATTCCAAAAATGACTCAACCTAGTGCTGGGATACTTAAATCTTGCAGAGCAATTATCGATATTAATGGCATCGTCGGGTTCAGCAACCTCGTCTGGAAGCGTTTTGATGCGTCTCCCATAAATCAGGTGTGATGGTGTTAAAACCTCTTCTCCCACTTCATTGTATTCGTACGTCAATGGTCTTGAGTTTAGTGTACATTCTATTTCGGCTAGCAGAGTTGCCAATTCATCGAATGTCAATCTCGCGTTTCCCAGAGTTTTCCTCAGGCATCCCTTCACACTGGCAACCATTCTTTCGAAAAATCCTCCCCACCAGGGTGCCCTTTCTAAATTAAATTTCCACTCAATTCGGTCTCGCTCTAAATCTGCTTTTACTTCTGGATGGTCAAATAATTTCTTAAGCGCCTTCTCTGTTGCCTGAAATGTTTTCGCATTGTCTGAAACGATCAACTCAGGCATTCCTCTTTGAGCGATGAACCTTCGCAAACAACGCCTAAACGTTCCTGTAGACAAATCTTCTACTAACTCTAAATGCACTGCTCTTGTCACGCAACATGAAAATAACGCAATGTAAGCCTTGCCCATCTGCCCCGATTTTTCCTTTACATAGAGCGGTCCAGCAAAATCTACCCCTACCCTCGAAAATGGTGGAGCTTCCTTGACTCTAAAATCAGGAAGCGCAGCAGTCGGTGGGGTACTATAAGGTTTCCCAGTAAACTTTCTACAAGTAACACACTCACTCAAAATTCGCTTTACCACCTGCCTACCCCTTGGGACCCAATATCTTGACCTTAACTCAGCTAATGTAGCTCTAACTCCACTATGATGAACTCTCTGATGGCACTCTTCTATGACCAACCTTGTGAATCTATGCTGTCTGGGCAAAATGACTGGTCTCCTGGCTTCACTTTCTAAATCTGAATTAACTAGTCTACCTTCGCATCTCAAAATAGCTCTGTCTTCCTTAATACCAAGCTCGCTAACTAGCTGCTTAAAATTAGTCTGCTGCTTTAAATCGCTTTGGACTGACTTCAGCCACTCAATCTCGGCACATTTCAATTCGTCTGCTTCCAATCTTCCGGTTCGCTTCTCGTTTTGCTTTGCCTTTGCTCTTGAGTTGTCGATGAATCTCTTTATCCAGGCTGTCACTCTGACTAGTCTCTGTAGCGTGCTGTAGTCATTCACGTCAATCACACCGGCAATACCACTCACAATTTCCGCCTTTGTCATCATTACAGCCGCGCTTTTCTTTTCTTCGACCAGGCTCTCTGGGGTTCTTAAGCTTTCTGTCAACACCGGCCAATCCTCTGGTCGTTCTATTAGCCATGATGGACCGCGCCACCAAAGCTGGTTTTCTTTCAGCCGCGAGGCTAACACTCCCCTGGAACCAAGGTCAGCTGGGTTTTCTTCTGTCGAGCAGTACGCCCAATCTTCTTTGTCAGTCAATTTCAAAATCTCATTCACTCTATGGCGCACGAACTGCTTCCATTCGCCCTTGTTTTGTATCCAGCTGAGAGCTGTCTTGCTGTCCAGCCAGAACCTCACGCCATCCAACTTGACTTGTGACTTTAACGCGTTCTTCACTGTGTGCATGAGCTGCGCAAGTATTCTCGCCGACATTAATTCTAAGCGCGGAATCGAAAGTTCTTTTAGAGGGGCGACTCTAGTTTTGCTAGCTACTAATCGTACATGAGATTTACCATCCTTCGTGCGGTACACGAAGTAAACCATGGCACAATAGGCTTTCTTGCTGGCATCCCCGAACCCATGTAAATAACACTCTGTTACATCCCCTCCCCCGGTCTCATAAAGGCATCTGTTTATACAAATCTCTTTAGTTTCTGCCAAATCTTGGACCCACTTGTCCCATTTTTGTTTAATTTCTCCCGTCAAAACCTCATCCCAATCGAATTTGCTGTTACAAATTTCTTGAAAAAGTACCTTCATACCGACGGTGAAAGGGCTAACCATCCCCAAGGGATCAAATAAACTTGCCAGTAGACTTAATACATTCCTTTTAGTTGCTTCCAACCCCTTAGCCTTGTCGGCTATATGCTGAAAGTTGAAATGAAGGGTATCGTTTTCACAATCCCAAGCTAAACCCAACACTTTTTCTCCCTTCGTCCCACCCTGGGGTTCTAGTTTCGACTTCGCATAAGTCTCTTCGTCGTCGAGTCTACCCACTTCCCGGGTTGTTTTGTTGCTCTCGCACATACTGATCATTTCCCTTAGTCCCGGGTCATTGGTCTTCCACTTTCTCAGGGTAAATCCCCCCTTGGACATTCGCTCCCTTGCGTTCTTGTAAAGGGTGAAGGTTTTATCAACTGTTCGTTCCCCAGTCACTAAATCATCTACATAAAATCCCTCTATCATTCTTTTGACAAATTCAGGGTCTACTTCTGCATAGGTAGCCAGATGGTGTCTTATCGTCCCATTCAACAAAAAGGGTGAGGCATTTAACCCAAAAACGACGCGACAAAACCTATACACTACAACACTCAAGTTACTGTCACGCACGTCTTCGACCCACAAAAACCTCAATCTATCGCGATCTTCTGGATCCACAGCTACATTCAAAAATGCCTTTTCAATGTCTCCCACTAGTGCAATTTTGTTCTCCCTAAACCTTACAAGAATATCGAATAATAAGGGATTCAGTGATGGCCCCGTATGTAAACAGTCATTTAGGGAGGTCCCATTCTTGGTTTCTTTCGACGAAGCGTCGTAAACAATCCTTAGTTTCGTGGTCTCTGCGTCCCTACGAATAACTGCATGCTGGGGTAAATAATGGACGTTTCCACCCGGCTCTTCCAATTCGGACACTTTCTCGATCACCCCTGCGCTTAGCTGTTCCTTTATAATCGAATCGTATTCGTTCAAAACTTCTGGTTCTCTCTTTAGTCTCTTCAACTGACCTTTCATGCGCGACACGCTGTTTGCAAAATTACTCGGAAGGGGGTCATGCCCTAGTTTCCATGGCAGCTTGACTGAGTACCTCCCCTCCAAAAATTCTATTTCGTTCTCGAACGATTCGTGGACTTCGTCGCTACTTTTTATGCCTAACCTTTCTAGATCCCATAATCTGCTAACTTCACGGTCTAAACTAGCTTTGTCTAGACCTGCACTGTCTTGCGATATGAAGTTTACTGACACTTCCTGAACACTCGTTTCGCTAAATTCATATCGCCTTTTTAGGGGACCGGATAACACCCATCCCAGTTCAGTTTCTATCGCGACGGGCTCCTCCGACTCCCCCCGTACCGTTCGACCCCTTTGAAATTCCCACAAGTAGTCCGCTCCTATTAGCAGGTCGATTTCGAGCTCTTCCTTAGATTGACAGACGTCAGAAAACCAATGGTCACGCAAGTGCGGGAAATCGTTTTTGACAACCTCAACATGCTCGTTGCTTATGTGTGAGATTTCCGGCACGACATAAGCTTCGAGCGCCTGCACACGACCGAAACGAAGAGGCTTTATGTCAAAACGTACGACTTCTCGCAGCCCTGATTCTTTGCCTTTCTGGCCAAAAGTACTAATCGTGATCCATTCCTTTCTTTCTACGGGTAACTCGTATTTGAGCGCCGCCTTGGCGGTCACAAAAGATCTATGACTTCCAGAGTCAAACAAAACTCTAACCCTCCCTTGCGTCCCCCCCTTAATCAAAGCTTGGGCTGTCTGGAGGGCTATCCTACATTCCGTACCCACAAGTTGAGCGCTGACGTTATTTCCGGACCGATCGCTATTACCTCCCGTTGGTCTATCTTGATTCCCCCCCGAGGCCTGTTGCGGTTTGGCCTCGCACAAACAAGAACTATGTTGTCCCTTACACAATTTACATTCTATTGTTACGTTACAGTCTCGGCTGCGATGGCCCTTTTCTATACAATTAAAACATCTACCGAATTTAAGTAAAAGTCTCTTACGTTCCTTGATGTCTTGTACCTTTTTGCAATCTTCTGGGGGGTGGGTTCCAAGGCAGAATGCACATCTCTTGTCGGCTCCTTTGTTAGTGAATAATGCACTCGCTGTCTGGGGTCCCTTTCTGCGGTCATTCGATCCACCTCGTTGCGCAGTTAAATTATGATCTTCCCGCAATTCAACCTCCGTCAACAGAGAATCCAGCAAGTCTTTGAGTGTCCACTCCAGGTACTGCTTTCCTCGGGTGATTGTTAAGCGTACTGAATCCGGAATCCTTTCCAGCAGCATGGGGACGATTATCTCGGAGTAAGTACGCTCGTCGACGTTCAACGCTTGAAGGGCTCTGTATTTTGTCTCCACGAAGTCATAGAGGCCGCGCAATCTTGCCGTGTCGCTTTCATTGAACACAGGTCTTGTGTTCAACAGTTCATTCACCAAAGTTCTTTGTATTGCGGTCTTTTTTCCAAAACGTTTTTTCAACAATTCGACCGCTGCCTCGTAATTCGCGGACGTTAAAGCAAATCCCGCAATCGCCGATCTCGCTGGCTCTAGCAGTAAGCCTCTGAGATACGGGAACTTATCCACGTTTGAAAGGCTGTCGTTTGCATGTATCGCACTTTCAAAGGAATCCCAGAACTCCTGCCACTCTTCCAGCTTTCCGCTGAACTTTCGTACCTCCAGTTTTGGAAGTTTCACCCGGACGGTCTTGGAGTTCGCTGAGCTCGAGGTCGCCCCGTTCTCGACGACGTTCTGGTAAGGACTAGAAGGAGGCCCACTCATGTGTTGACTCTCGCTCAATCCAGGCTGCAGCACAGCTAGCTTTTCGTCGATAGCTGCAAGTCTTTGAAGTACGTCAGCCTTCAATCTTGCAGCTCTGTCTATCTCGGCCGTGATGTCTTCTTCGGTGGATTTTTCATCGGCAATGAGTTCAGCATAAATTTCCTCGTCCAGAGGCAAGATCTTGTCAAGCTGTTCTTTAAGGACTGTGTGCCACTTAACAAGTTCAACTTTCTTCTCAGCTTCATAGCTGTTTAAGCACTCGTCAACGTCAGGAAGGACTCCCGTTAGAAATCCTCGATGGCCTGCTCTAACTTTCTTCTTGGACATTCTTTAATCCGGCTATCGATGGACCAGATGTTGCGGAATTCTTTTAACCCCGCTCCGCTGGTTCAAACAAATCAAGAGGACTGTATCTTTCGATGTAACAACACGATTTAATGCAATCCAACAATCTACTGCGATGTACAACTCTCATATACTCAACGTTCGTAACACAACGATCAACGTAACTAAACGATCAACGATCAACGATCAACTCAACTAAACTAAAACATTCTAAGTATACAGTGGTTTTTCTACTATCCTTGCGTAAGGCAGTATTTTTACATTAATCACATGTACAGTAAAAGTTCCCATTGTAATGTATCTAAATTAAACGTCTATTACAAAATCCCACGTTCTTTCACCTTATTTAGCCTAAGAAAATACATGCAGTTACATCATTTTATATCGTAAATATACTTGGACTTTGTCTACATTATTGTGAAATCTAATGTCACGAAATCTAACTTTTGCGCTACAAATGTCAATTTCTAATTAATATTTAATCACAGAATAATCAAGTTAAGTATCACCTATTTCTTTCCCCGACAGAAAGTATGACCTGGACGAAATGCAGGCCATATGCATTCAGACGTACTTAGGCCATATTTTGCATCCATTGATGCTAGCCCAACAAATTCTACCAAAGCCCTTTCCTCATAAAATGTCCACCTGTGTAACCGCACAGGTGATTTAATGGCCGACACAACCAGAGGTGATTTTTTTAAGCCCGAGCTGATAACCTAGGAAAAGATAACAAAAAAGCTACATGTATACAACTGTCCAGACCCAGAAGACCACTTGATTTTCCTTGAAGAATAAATAAGCTCAATTGCATATTTATAGCAAAAAGTACAAGTCAATTTCCAAGTCAGACTGTTTCCAAGTTAAAACAGAATACAATAACACAGGAATAAATAAATTTCAAGTAGCATGAAAAAAGGAAAGACGCTTTGTAAGTTGAAACTACAAAAGAACTCAGATCAACTTCTCCGCATTTAAAAATGCACAAGGTTAAATGACACAAGGAACAATAACAATAAGCTTAAGTAACCTTGATGCCCGGACTTCCACCAGAGCGCCTCCTCTGTATCTTCGGACTAACAAAGCCTCCAATGCTTACTAGTGGTTCTAGATTCTCAACATTCTCTGACGAAAAGTCCAGAGGTCCTCTAATGTTTCGTCTCGAATCGCGTGCGCGCTTCTCAACAGGTTTGTTTGGCGTGTTACCACTTGCTACGTGGCTTCTTTTTTTGGAGTCCATTGTCCTATAAGATTCGCAGTGCAATACTCCATTATTCACCGCTCCTTTAACGCATTCATTACAAAAAACAGTGAAAATCCGTTGAAACACATCCATTTTGATAGTAAAAAATGATTGCTATGGTAAGACAACGCTTTCGAAAGCGCTCAACCGATTGAGGCCTTCAGCAGACTTAACATATATTCCCACACGTGGTATTGAAATGTGTTCGAGGATACAAAATTTCAGTGATTTTTGGCCGCTTCAAAAGTCCTTAAAATGTGGGTACTTCTGGGTACTTCTTTGCTTGTACAATTATCAGGAAAAGCCCATATTAGGAAAAGATCATCAAATAAACCAACAAAATGTGAATATTCATGACCTATCTACGGCTCAATGAACACTTTGTTATGCAAAGGCTCCGTAAAACAATCAAATCAAAGGTTTCTATATGGATGTTATGTTATTGAACAATTGGATATCTGAGAAATCATGTCAAATAACAAAATAATGCAATTTTCTTACCTTTCAAGGGAACAGAAAGTTAAACAGGCCGGCGAGAAAACGGCGTTATTTCACGCTGGAATCCGCCATAACTGCGAGGTTGCGTGATGTGCCGAGAAAATTGCATCATGGGATACTATTCGCACCTCCTCTGGAATTGGGATAAAGTTACCTTGCGCGCTGCGTGGATGTTTCGTGGAGGTTTCGTATGGCTAAACGCCGTGCAAAACATGTCGGGCGAAAGGCAATGAAAGCGTAAAGAGGTAGAGAGCATTCCTGAATATTGACGCAAAATGAGTCGGTGCTCACCTGGGAAAAGGGAATCGCTAGACTCTCTGACTACCCGTGAAATCCGTTTAACTCGAAGTTGTCGTAACCTCAGTGCTTTAATAAAATGAGAAATTTCGCCGGTATATTGAAACCGGTCGTTTGTACAATAAAGCAAGGAGGACGCCAAGTGTTATTTTTGTGAACGTTCTTTGGATAAAATTTCTCAAACTGGATAGCCGAACTACTGCCTTATGGCAACAACGGCAAAAATACAACTCAAGGAATGGCATCAGCAATGTGAACAATATCTGCTACGCAAATACCCTACGAACAGAGTCTCCTTTGATCTTCCTATATAAGTAGCTGAAAGATCGAAGCGACTCTACTACGCAAAACACATGTCATCATACGGATGTTCTAATTTGCCGAGGAACAGAAGGCAAAGGACGGTAACTTTACCTCGATCGAGGTTAGCATGTTTCGGTTTGTTTTTAAACTAGGAATTATGAAGTAATATATCAAACATAAGATGCAGTGTTTCATCACCAGATGAAACACCGAGAAGAGAGTTGAAAATACGACGCGCAGCGGAGTATTTTTGACGAACTTCGAGGTGTTTCATCTGGTGATGAAACATTGTGTCGAATGTTTGATATTTCTTCTCAAACAAAATCATTTTTGAAGGAGAAATTAAGGATGCAAAAATGAGCAGTTCTTCATCAGATATCCAAACACTCATTAAACATTGATTTCCTTTGAATTTTCTTTATGAATTATTAATTGGCCTTCGCGACGGGGCAGATGACATGCTCTTCGATCGGCATAATTCTTTAGATCATAACAAACCTCATACAATAATTTCTTAATAACATGACATCTATCATTGATAGCCCTCGTGGCTAAGGTGTGTCAAAAGGGGCGGGGAACAGCCACGCAGTCAAATCACTGATACGCTTTTGATTTTAAAGCATGCACATACTTACCAGTGGTTGAGAGAGGAAGGATGACTGCAGCAGGCTCCCCGTAAACCCATTTCTGCAACGACCCCCACCCCAACACCCAAAAATTAGATGTTAAGAGACAGTTGCTGACACTGACTTATTCTAAGCCTAAGCATAAACATTTCCATGTACAGAGAGTTATAAAATAAGACACACCAAAGAGCCAAACTGATTATCAACAAGCGGTAATTTAGTAGTATACTAGGGTCAAACTTAACCCCGTTGGTGTCTTCCCCTGTCTTCCCTCGCAAAAAGTGGATTCTCTTTATTAATATGTATAAGTGTCTTCCTGCATACTAATTTGGGTTTCCTGCATACTAATTAAGTGTCTTCCTCCATATATAATGAAGTGGATAGCTTTACTAATGAGCGTCACTCTACTACAATAGGAACAATAGGCTTGCGTAGACTTGCCCGTGAAGTAACTTGAGCTCGGTTTTCGGACAGTCTATTAAAAGGAAAATAGGAATAAGAGAAGCGATCACCTAGCAACGCGAGAAACGGCTTCCTATATCTTATTTAGCGCTAAAACTCAGATATATAAACAAAACACATATGCACAAAGTGGAGTAGAAAAGTCTTTATTTCAGTTTAGTTTATGTCTTCTTATTTAGCGCTAAAACTCGGATATATATAAACAAAATACACAAAGTAGAACTGAAAGCTCTGTTTCAATTTTTTCTGACGTTTTCTCCGTTCTATCTCGAGGAAATGAAAAACTATTAAAGTCTTGTCATTTTCACGCACTGTTAGTCAGTTAATTATGCGAGTTCACAAGCCCAAAGTTGAATACAAATTTGCTCTACAGGAAAGACCCAAGGGAGCACCTTGACGTATTATTATGAAACAAATAACTTAACAGGGATCAATTAAAACACGCGACTAATAATTTCTAGCAATAAAATCTGACACGAGATACCGTTTAAAACAAAAAGAGTCAAATACACAGCTATTTGAAAGAAATCTATTAAAATAGTCAAAGAAAGCCAAAAATCTTTTTTACCACGTTTCCCTCCTCAATTTTTTTATTCCCTCCTCCACAATTTTATTATTTTCGCTCCTCATTCTCGAATTCCCTCCTCCACAATTTTAATATTTTCCCTCAACTTTTTTTTATTCCCTCCACCACAATTTTGATATTTTCTCTCAATTTTATTGTTTTCCCTCCTCCTCCTCCTCCTCCTCCTCCTCCTCCTCATTTCTATTGTTACGACCTTGACTGCCCAAGCTAATGTCTTCGACAGTCAAATTCTTTAACTTCGACCTTGCTTTGTAAAGAGCATCCCTGACACATGAACGACGACGGAGTAAACCTGACAATTATGGGAGGAACCGCATTTTCACTTTTCATTCTGTGGGATTTGGAGATATCGTTATCCTCGATAGCAACATCAACGATTGACCCAACATTTTTAATAATCTGATTTGTATCGTCTTTCGCTGACATGGGAATCCATCGTATCTCCGAACAGTCACGCCGGATATATTGTTCCTGATCGTCAAACTCAGCTTTCATTTGGTTCATCGCGTTTGCCATACGGGAGCTCTCTTGCTTAAGGAAATTATTCTTCTTTATCAAAACCGCATTTCTCTCTTCCAGAGTAGAAATATTCTTCTTCATGTCCTCGAATTTCTAGTTTATAAAACTCGTCAATGAATGTAAGGGTTCTAGTTTCTTATCCAGCAGTCGGCTAGCTTAATTTGTTTCCAGCATTTCGTCCAGGGCTGTCCTAACGATGTCTTTTAACAATTTCGACTGATCACAATCCATCTTTTTTCTTTAGATTAGGATGGTACCATGAAAGAAAAAAAGCCAAAAAGAAGAGGAAAACCAAAGCAAAAACTACAAAAATTACAAAAATTAGCGGAGCCGCCGAAGGGCCGCCATAACCGCGCATGACAACAGCTGTTACTCTCAAGTAACAGTCTTGAAATTGATCCTTTTGGGCAGAAAAAAATGTGAATAATTTGCCATTTCAATGCTTTTGCCACTTTATGTTAATTTATAAATGTGTATGTGTGACAATTTCCTGTATTTTAAAAACGAAAGTATACATACTACATTTGATGATAATAACTTAGGCTGCGTGCAAACGGGCGCAACAACTCCCAAAATTGTTCCGCCAACAATGTTGGGAGTTGTTGTGTGCGTGTTGGCAGTAGTGTGCAAACGGATGCAACAACTTCCAACAAGTTTGGGACCTGCAGTGCATCGTGGGAAGAATACAACCCATAAGTCTTTGTAATCCATGCGTAATGAGCGTGCTTGGCCCCAACAATGTTGGAAGAGCTGTGCAAACGGATCCAACATTGTTGCGCTACGCTTCGGCGATCACGGAACAAAAGAAATGTTGGCAATTGTTGGCTGAAAAGTTTGGGCGGTTTCAAACTTAGCGCAACAACACGCAACAACATCCAACAACATGCAACAGGGTGTGTAAACGGGCGCAACATGTAACATCCAACAATGTTGCGAGTTGTTGGCCAACAATGTTGCGTCCGTTTGCACGGGGCTTTATGTAAAAAGAAAATATCAAGCTAGTGAAAACTAATTCTTATTGATCTTTATTAGATATAAAAATGAAACAAGATAATTAAAGGTCTATCTATTTCTAAGTACGGTGCAGGGGCACCCAACGACTGTTTTCTGTAAAATATCTGTTCGGAGAAGCAAATATTGCCTAGAATTTCTAGTACTCGAGGACGGCTAAAAATTTCTAGATGACCGTTCCATTTATGTACAATTTTCGAAGCTCATCTAATAAATTCCCTAAGATTTCACTCCCCTGGTTAGACTATTTTTCGTAGAAAAAAAGGAAACCTAATTGTTTTGGATTCAAAATGTGATGGAAAAAGGAATAAGAAAAATTCTCCCCTTCGTAATACGCTAAATTGCATCTAAAATTTTCGGGAAAATAATTGTGAATCCCTCGTAATTTCGAAAAGACTTAAGTTCGTCTAGGATGACCGAACGGATACAAATTTTATAGAGCCGCTTAGAAAGCAATTCTAGAGATCTAAAAGTACACTGCCAAAAAAAAAACAACAGCACCACCCGCTAATCCAGCCATCTAAGCAGCCAGATTTGCAGTTCCAGAAATCACCCATTCACGTATTCAGAAGAAGGCACTTGATTGACATATAAGGGCGAGTCATTGCTGGCTCCTCCGCCACTGTTCGCTGAGTCGCACGACGTAAGAGAGGTGTAGAGGCCATCGCCTGGTGTCTGAAATGATAGAAACAAAAGGAAAAAAGTATAAATTTAAGTGGTTTATTCATCAAATTATTGTTTGAAATAATAATGATAATAATGGTAATAATAATGGAAACTTTATTTGCCTTTTTGAATGTACAGTAGTAAATGTCGCTACGTATAGGCACTTTACAATTGGCTGCTTGAGATTGAATTATTCAAAAATCAAAATTTCATTAAGACTGGGCTATCCAACTCCTATTTCTACAACAAAAGATTTAATATGTTGCTCTAATGGCTATATTTATCATTGTTTTGATTAATACAAAATGTTGTTGCTTTTTTTCAATGCCAATGTCATTCATTATGTCTAAGAACGTGGAACATTCGTCGGAGAAAACGCCAAGGGAGCTTATGGAGAGGTTTACAAATTTCACACATCTGTAATTTCTGCTCATTTCTTTGATCAAGTTCAGGTATTTTTCTTTTTTACGCACTGCATTGTTATTACGGTTAGACTCAAAACCGACTGTTAATTCTACAACATATAGGCAATTGGACAGAATTAGGAAAAGAAGATCTGGACGATAATTTTCACCAGTTATTATTGAAGGATTCAGAAAACCATTAACATCGGCATAGTGACAAGATTTTAATTTTAGTCGATGCTGTTGCTGGTTACGGTTTGCCGCCCTGCCAAAGCTTTTATTTTTTACTCTGGACATCCAGACGTTTGTACTGCCATAATAATAATAATGACAATGATAATAATGGCGGGCAACAAGAAGAGCCCGCAATCCTAATCTCCAGGTTGCTGATACGCATAATATAAAATTTCATTAAGTCCACTGCGACGGACCGTTGAGTGGTGCCGGATCTAGCAGCTGTAATCAGTACAATATTACAACAACTTGTATAAAATGTAAAACGGCAAACTGATTTGCCGTTTTATATTCTATGCTGACACGCATGCACGGCTCGTATTATGTGGCCAGCTTCGTTTCGAGCTCCACTAAGAATGAATGGAATGCATTACACGCAGTCTGATCGTAATCATCATCATAATCATCATCATCATCATCATCAGGATTAACGCAACCCAGATTTCCTTCCACTCGGATGGAGGTTAAGCGTTCAATTTTACCACCCTTTCTCCCCACTTCGACACCTACGTGGCACACCATTTTCGTTATATCAACTGGACAGTTGAACCTACACGTCACAATTGTTAAAACACTTGTCACGTTACGCTATCTCGAATGTTGATTCACGTGTCCCCATTTGCAAATATGCACGAATTCAACTTTGGGGAAGAATAGAAGAAGTACACTAGGAAAAACGTTTAAAAAGTTGGTTGAGATGGCGTGACATAAAAAAATCCCCAATTTCAGTCTACTGTTTAACAAAATTTGACGAGTATTGTACTGAGGTCTCATATGCCGCCGAAACATCTGCGACTTAACCGCCATTAACTGCCAGGGGCATTATTCCTATATCAAAGAAAGAACAGAAGTGACCATCAACATGGACTAATCCACTCTTCATCCTTAATGGCCGTATGATGACTGCGATTGACTGACTCAAGTTCAACTTCGCATGTACGCCGGCAGTAAAGACCTGCCATGTTCGTTCCTTGCTGTCGATGGTGTATGCTTTCATATTTCAAAACGGTATCACAGTCGGTACAGACTCTATACATGCTGTACGTCACAGTCAGGAACGATAAATACTGAGTCGGTATAGGTAAATGATATAAGTCTTAAATAATTCGGCAACGATAATTGCCAGCAGCTGGAAATTTCTTAGTGCTGAAGTATAAAAATTAATAATAAAGAAAAGTAGAGATATCACAACTCTTCGTTTCCTTCACTATCTATGCGTACGTTCTTGAAAAGTCTGGAATTAAATGAGAGATTTAACTTACTCTTGAAAGATGATGCAAGGTACCGTATCCGCATTCCATCCCACCAGGTTGTACAATTTCGTCTTCACACCCTTCCTCGTCGTTTTCATCAGACACACCAGTCTGTCGTCTATGTGCATCCTGCGCTGGATTCAACAATGAGGTATTGTGAATTTCAAGTTCAATCCTGGAGAAGTACAATGCAACATTCTTAGTTTGTATTACTGTAATTTAAGGGTAAGTGATACGTCTCCATGACCTATCTCGATAAGCTTCGGTATTTGCAGGTAGTTTGTACTTGTAATTTATCGATTTTCATAGAAATATAAAGTTTTGTACATGACGGCGTAAAGAAAAAGTGAAGTGAATCTGGAGAAGCACCATTGAACGCACGCACCCTATGTTTAACTATGATGCCATGGTGCTTAAACACCGAGAAATCTCAACGGGAGGACAGGTGGGGTTTGTAACTACAAAATGCAAAGTTTGAGTCTAGTGGAATTTTTCAGGCTCGATAAGCAGCCCGTTATTTAGATTTACTTTCATGTTTGTGATGTTAGTGGTTGCTGTTGCTGGGGGGAGGGGGCTGGGAAGGGGTAGTGGTGGGGTGTATCTGGCGTAAATGGACATACAGACATTTTGCGCTTAATTTTTGTCCTGGCAGCTATGAAGTTCAAGCGAGATTGTACTTTGGCAGGGACTGTACCTTTCAGCAGTTTTGTCCCTTGCATCTATATAAAGAAAGATAAATAAAAAGAGGAAAAATAAAAGAGATTATAATAATATTGGGTCCGCAGGTTATAATGTACACTAAAGTCAGTGGAAATTTCTGTAGTCTAAACAAGTGAAAAGTCTTGTCTGGTCAAATTGCTCAAATGCCTTTCATTCTTTATAATAGTCATTATATTCAGCATGTGTTGTAGCATTGGAACCTTTGGGGATCGCCTTTAGGAGCCCCTGACTGATGGGCGATCACGCGCGTTGTGTTTTGACTTGCTGAGTGGAATACAGTAGCTCTTAGCAAGAGATGGGATGACAGCTACTGAACTGTGAAAAATTATTGAACGAGTTGATGGACAAACATTTTTCTTGTTGCATTGTTTCGAAGTGTTCATGATGGCCGATCGAGAATCACGGTTGTCCCTTGCATCATGGTCCATTCGGCGCCTGACGCTAATGCTGCTGAGATCTGGCGGATTTAAGACATTCCTTGTCATAAAGGCAAAGACGATAAAGCGGACCAACTGAAGATGAATAAGTTATTACATTATGCTGGACCGGAAGCCATCAAAGAATATACAGCCACTTTGAGTTCATTGGTGACAAAAACAAAGATTGCAAGATGTCTGTCATGCACAAGTTCAAGGAATTGTATCAGGGTGCTAAAAATGTAATTTACAGGAAGACTGGTGTCATGATCGTATCCTGTGAGGAGTTTTTTCAGATGAATTGCGAAGCGAACTGCTGAAGATGCCAGATTTGACGCGACAAGCTACTCACAAGTATTGCCGTACATCCAGAAGTA